TCGGAAACTGACACTCAAAAAGGTAATGAAATTCAGTGCCAATTCCTATATGACATAAGTGGCATATTCTTTCTTCTTTTGGAATGGTTGTCCACCTTCCGGTTTCTATGGGTATTTTTAAATTACAACACCTCAATTTTGTTAATAATTGTCGTCCTTTTGGAAATAATTTTAGAAGGTAATTTTCCAGATTAAATTCTAATTTAAATTGACCACAAAATTTTCCTCTTGATGAATTTTCTATTTGGCTATACCATTTTTGGATGAACTGATCTACGAGCCTTTGCTTTACAGTACTAGTAACTTTTAATTGGACTGAATTAACTGGAAATTGCTGAGTCCATTCATAGCTGAGTCCCGTGTTATCAAAAATAGACTTTAAATGATTTATCCACTTAAAACTAGTATTACCTGATTGAATAAGCTTAAACATTACTCTATATAGCACACTGCTTAATTTGTTTTGATTGACAATAAGTTTATTCCAAAACAGACCATTTTTAAATTAATAGCTACCTCAATTGGAGTTCTGCCAAGTTCTCCATAAGACATGAAATTAGGAGTAGTGGATCTTAACTTAAGTATATTTTTGCAAAATTGTAGGTGAATTTTTTCTATCATCTGAATGTTTTCAAACCCCCACACTGGCCTCGCACCCATAAGTCAGGATGGGAAGTATGAGGGTATCGAATAAGCTAATCTGTAAATCAACAGGTAATGATATATTGCGTATTTTTCTGTATAAACTGAATAATGCTTTTTGCGTTTGCTCGACTATTGTTTTCTTGGCTTTAACAAAAGAACCATTGTAACTTAAAATTATTCATAAATAAGAGTAAGATAAGAATCTTCTATATCTAGATTATTGCCAAAAAATTTAAAAATTGGGTTATGTTTGGATTTTCTCTTGCAAAAAGTTACAACTTTCGTTTTATTCAAGTTCACTTTCAACTTCCATTTAGTACAATAGGCTTCAAAGATATCCAAAGTGTTTTGTAAAGAATCCGGTGTTTCTGCAAGAATTATGGTGTCATCAGCATAAAGCAATGCAAATAATTTGACATAAATATCAAGATTATCAAAACATAAACTTTCAAATTTTTCTAAGCTGCAATTATTATTTTGGATAAAGAAATCTTCTAGGTCATTTAAATAAATTGCAAAAAGGAAAGGAGACAGATTCTCTCCTTGTCTTACTCCTATGTCGCACATAAAGAATGCAGAACATTCTTGACTGCTTTTTACACAAGATTTAACATTATCATATAAACTATGCAGTACTTTGAACATTTTTCCAGTTATATCTGCATTTTGTAACTTAATCCATAATGAGGCTCTAGATATTGTATCGAATGCCCTTGAAAAATCAACGAAGGTACAGTATAATTTTTTGCCAAGTGACTGGTAGATATAAATTAAAGCATACAAAGTGAAAATATTATCAGTTGTGCTATATCCTTTTCTAAAACCAGTTTGAGCTTCTGTTATTAATCCTATCTCATCTGACAATTTGCTAAGTCTTTCATTCAGGATAGCAGTGAAAGTCTTACCCAAACAAGACACTAATGTGATAGGTCTATATGAACTTGGATCATAAATATTACCTTTATCTTTAAAGATTGGTAGGATAATACCTTCTGACCAAGAGCTTGGTATTTTTCCGGAATCTAATATTATATTAAATAGTTTGCAGTATATAGGCATCATAAAGTGAATTGTATTTTTTATATGTTCGATCGTTTACAATATTATCATATCCATAGGCTTTATTGTTTTTAAGTTTTTTAACAACAGCCAGAATTTCGTCTTCTGTAATTGAAGAATTTAGAATATTATCAATATTCTATGGAGGAATTTTATCAAAATTAATATCATGTCCTTCATCCCCATCTGCATTCTCATTCAACTTTTTAAAATATTCATAAAAAGTATCCAAAGTAACCTTGTCGCTATAACTAGATTTGGGTTTGTCAATATTGTTTAATATTTTCCATAAGCCTTTAGGATCAGTCTTAGATTTTTGTCTCAGAGTATTAGCAGTTTTTATCTGATAATCTTGGAAAAGCTTGTTCATTTCTCTTCTGTACTCACTACTTGCCTTCTTTAATGAAGTTTTATTTAGCTGACTTTTTAAATACCCATATTTCCTTTTAGCTCTGTGAAAAATCTTTCTTTTCGATGCACATTTTGTATTATACCAAGGTTTGTTATTAGATTTCTTATATTTAGAATTTTTACATGTCTTATCTAATACGTTAGCAGATGATTTTTTAAACATATCACACAAATTATTCACAACTGTATCAATATATGTAATATATTTTGTTTTAAGAGTAACTCATCTAACGAAGTTTCTATATTTCTAATATTAGTTTCTTCATTTACTCTTACGTGTTCTATAAATTCTGTTTTCTTATTACTATTCCATTTTATATTTTGGTTTTGTGAAACAATGTCATTTGTTTCATTAACATCACTATTAATGTTCATAATTTGTAAGAAGTTTTCATCGGGACTACAAAAGTCTGGAAGATCTGCGGTTTTGTCATTGAAATCCCCAACCAGTGCATATCTGTTATCATTATCTGATAATGAAATTAATTCGTTTTCAACTTCAGAGAAGGCATCTACTGATGAATATTTTGAATTATCAGGGGGTATATACACACATCCTAACAAAAACTCATCTTTAAAAAGATCTCTAGAAAATTTAACCCATTGTACATATTCAGAATCTGTTTTAGGAAATTTTAGGTAGTTTTCAAACTCTTTTTTAAACACTACAGTTATACCACCAGATCTTCTCCGAAACTTATTCCTACATTTTGAAATATAAGTATAGCCGTTTGGTAGATTTAATATATCTAATTTGTCTTGTTTTGTTTCTAAAAAAATTAATATATCATGTGACGTTATTAAAACTTCAAAAGTCTGGTATTAGTAATTTTGACTTGATTCCACAGACATTTAGAAAAAAAAAACTTGACTTGTATTTTGTTTATGAAATCGAGAAAGTTCTACCGTTGACATTTTATTTTAAAGTAGTATTCATAAATAAACTGACACCTTTTTTGAATGTTCTGGTAGGAGAGAAGCCAATGATTTGCTCTCAGTTTGGTACCATACAGTGAGAAGATTTTTAGATTTGCCTCCTCCGAATTCAGTTTCCCGAATTGTCTTGATGTTTGAAATCGCTTTCTTTGAACGCTGCAAGTATTTGAGTACCCTTTGTCTTTGTTATACTCGACAAAACCTCAGTAGACAAGATGGAAAAACTATGATGAAAAAAAAAATACAATCAACTCATTTTATTTATTGGCGCCTAACTGCTACTCAATAATGTTTATGGTTCTTCAGCTCTAATATAAAATGTCGATGTAATAAACTGATTAACCCCTTTTCTTATCGGGACAGTGGTAACATGTCCAGTTTTATTGTAAATCTTTTAATAGCTTTTAATGTTTGATATTAATATCTCATCGCTAAAAAAGGTCGATTGAAAGCTATCACAGTTTTCGTCAATTTGTCAAATTAATTGTATTTTATATCTATATTATTCCTACAGACTCGACAAGGTATGTTTGGAAAAAATACTTAAAACTTTCTTTCTACGGGTATGGATCGCCGCTTATATCGGCATACTCCTACACAGTAGAATGGCTAATCATCAAAATACTTGTTGCTATTATATTCTAGGTATGCGGATATATACATTAGCTTTTTAGCAGTCTATAGGTAAGCACTACTTGAAAGGTTAATGTCTTAGACTTTAAATATACTGTTAATTCTAGATCGATGCGTTCACCAGCAATTTATGTTCAACACTAAGGGTAAATACGCAGAACAAGAAAAAGTTAAAGCACTATGTAGTAGAATGTCCAAATAAAAAATAGGTATATAGACCCTTAAGCACTAGATAGAGACACGTTTTACGTATTTATATTAGCATGCACTTCTCAAGCGAATTGTCATTATTTTAGAAGATAAAATGCTTCTAGATATGCCTTCACTACGCCCTCACCCTACCCTGCTATCTGTCTCATTATACTGGTATGCATATCGTAACAGAACAGCCGTGTGAGGTTTTCTAACTCTATGTAGTACAGGGGCGGATCCAGCCATTTTTAAAAGGGGTTCCAACCCAGGATAAAGGGGGGGGAGGGGGTTCCAACCATATGTCCCAATTCAAAAGCATTGGTCGTCAAAAAAAGGGGGGGATACCAACCCCCTATACCCCCCCCCCCCCCCCCCCCCCAACCTGGATCCGCCACTGTTGAGTTGTTGTTTCATATGGAATCTATAGTTAATGCTTTTGTTGAGTACAGTCCATCATAATTTGTATAAGCATGTCACAGTCAACCAAGTTCTGATAGAGCCCATTCTTTAAGTTTTCCAGGTATGATTTTATTTCAAGGCAAGTCTGGAGGTGCCTTTCACGTTTATGTCTACTGCACGAAAGTATGAAGTGTTCTAGATCTTCATCTGTTGTATTACACAAAGTTCATTATGGGGATATATATTTTTATTGTGTCTAGACCTAACTGTCTGTAGAATATGTGTTCTTGTTACTAGTCTGCTCTTTATTTCTCCTGCTTTCACACTAATTGGGTTGTTTCCTGCAAACTGCCAATTATTATGAGCCATAAAGGATAGGTTTTCCTGTACTTGAAGGTATTCCCAAGGCCATGTCTTCTATGTCTTCTATGTTATTATGTACATATATGCCGACTTTAGATAAAATTTACTTACTTACTTATTTTTTATTGGACTGGTCTTATAAGCATACTTCATGTCAGTGTTTATTTTTATATCTTACTATCCTTTTCCATTTTTCCTTTGAATTTGGGTGTTGCATAAGATTATGAAAAGGTTCGTTCTTGGTCAGAGCTTCTTGTACTCTTTATATATATAATTTTTTTTCATTCAGTTTCACATATGCCCGAGGATATATGAATTCCGGAAATATTTCATATTTGTTCCGAATTCAGAAATATTTTATACTGTACTTGCTAGCTTCCTGTTGAATTTTACATGCTCTCAGTACCAATACTGTAAATATGGTCAGAAAACTAAAATACCACGAAAAGAAGCTTCTTAAGAAAGTTGATTTCATTTCCTGGGAAGTCGACAATAACTTACACGAGGTTAAAATTATGAAAAAGTACCACATTCAAAAACGTGAAGATTACACGAAGTGAGTTATTCCTACACTATACATCACAGACCAAATTATATCGAGTTCTCTTACGATAAACACCCGAAAGTTTGTAAATACCACAAAACAATACATATTTATGAATGAGTTGAAACGTTTGGTCCGAAATGTCAGAGTTCAATCTGTGTAAATAATGTCATTTAACAATCGAATCCTACTGTGACAAAAACAAACATGAGTATGTTAAGCACTGTAACAAAATAACATAATTAATCCTGATAGTGAGTGTACACGGATACCACTGTATCCTCACAGCTAAAGAGGGGAGCATTGTCTATAGTTTGCACCAAAATGAGGCATGCATTTCCTGTGAAAGATGTCTATAGTCTGTACTAAAATAAGACATGCATTTCCCGTTAAAGATGCCTATAGTTTGTACAAAAATGAGGCATGCATTTCCAGTGGAAGAGAATGAAGAATGCTATTCAAACTATGTGAAAAAATCTTAATCTTTATTATTATTGAAAAAAAATAAAAAATATTCATAATAGAAAATCATTTTTCAGATTGGGACCAGTCACCCAGTTGGGTTTTAATAACCCATTTAGGATATAAATGCCCAAATGAAATATAAATTTACTGTGTATAAAAAATATTTTGGATCATCAGAGTGTAAAGGGAAATATTACAAAGTGCAAATGATTATTCATGTTATTTAAAAAGTAACAACTTTTGGTTGGGGAGCAACTTTTCGGGTTACTTTATTGTTTATGAGATTGATCCCTTGGAATATGGTGGTTTTCAATCTAACAATAGTGTTTCCTACAGGAGGTTTTGGGGTGGTATAGCGCTCTGCCGTGTTTTCTTGACGCCCTGACCTTTTGAGGAAAAAAAATTGGCGCCATGCCCTTTTCCGTGGTATTTTAAAAAGCCCCCCGTAATTTAATATCGGTTCTGCAATTCATTTTTTAGCAAAACCATTTCTGGTTATTTCCCTTGGAACGAAATAAAAATTTTAATGGCCGACATTTTATTGAATTTTGTAATTATGTATGAAAAGTTTTGAAGCTACAGAGTACAAATACAGTTCATGATTGAATCTCATAGGAACAACTTCCATTTGTACCTCTTCGAATTTAAAATGTAGACAATTTAAAAGGGAACCTGCCGATTGTTTGAGTTATAATTTTTACGATGCATTGGATGAACATTACCACTGATTATGTAAACAATCCTATGTTTGTTTATATTTTCCATTTATATTATTCAGTCGGTCGAGACGTCATATTGGGTGTGAATTTACTACAGCTTTCATACTGTTGTTGTCTAAATAAAATTAAAGTTAAGAATATAGCTGATATAGTTTTGAATAGTACGAAAAATCAACAATGTTTCAATAAACAATAGAACAACACAGAATTAGATGGAAAAAAGTATGAATAGCACAAGAATATGTATAGTAAGCTATACAAATCTGAATATCCAGAAACTATTTGTACAGTTAATTGTTATGAGCCAGTTATTATAATTATAATCAGTCTCAGTGATCCAGTACTAAAGTTTATACACATCTTTAGACAATCAGTCTCAGTGATCCAGTATTAAAGTTTATAACTGGAGTTATTGATTGAAATGGGGCACAATGAACATGCTCTAGATTCTATTAGCTGAGTCTAGAAGTGATAATTTTATTACAAAAAGGAATTAAATTAACAACCTAATATACATATCTTTATTTCTTACCAATAAATATGAAACAATGGTTAATTTGATTAAATCCCTATCCATAACAGTGCCTTTATATCATGTAAAGAGTGCCCTAAAAGTGTAGTCCTCTGCGCAAAGGATGCCCTAAAAGTGTAGCCAATTGCGCTAAGAGTGTCCTCTGAGATAAAAATTGCCATACTTTTGGACTTTTCTAGATCTGTTTGATTTCATGTTATAGGTTAAAAAAATAAGTTAATCATCGTTTTTACCTGTATAAGAATGTGTTTTTGTGGATCAAATCAGTCAACCAAATGGTTCAGCCTTGTTTCACTTTCAATGTTGACATTCTTTTCCTTTTAATGGCTGAACACGACTTATACATGTGTAACCAATCTCTAGCTAATGGGTTAAATTGAAGGTCACATGAATACTGATTCAATGAGGTTGAATTATTCATTTGCAAGTGAATAATTCATCAGTGATGTTTCTTAGCTTATTTTGACAAAATTGAACTAAACTAGCTGCTAAAAGCGAATTATTATTTCACTATTTCACTTTCATTAATGATTGAACAAAAAAAAATCACATTTTGATTTTTTTTTATATCTTGTAGCTAATGCCCCTTTAAAAAGTTGCTTACCAAAAATTGCTCTACTGACCTAAATGAATGTGCTTTTAAATATATTTTCTAAATTAAGAAATGAAGAATTTTTGCGCTGTATAACCCATTTAGGTTATTATTTCCAAAACAGGTTGTTCATAATTATTCTTCATATTAGGGAATTGAAGAAATTCAACGAGCACAAGATTAATATGAGGCAGGTGTTACCTGTGAATGGGAACGAAGTCAGCAAACCTTTAGAATACTTTAGGATATCCCGTTCACAGCAGATTTATATATATCAAAATTCATTGTAAAAATATTCCCTACATAATTTCTGGTGAAAAAGTACCTGAATTATGGAAATGTATCCGATGTTGGTCCTTTTGTTAGGAATTTTATATATGACATCATTTTCAATGCAAACAAAGAAACGCTATCTTCAGGTAGCAGTTTTTATACGACCGCAAAAAAATTTTGTGGTCGTATATTGGTATGACGTTGGCGTCGTCGTCGTCCGGCGTCGTCGTCGTCCGAATACATATTGGTTTTCGCACTCTAACTTTAGTTTAAGTGAATGGATCTTTTTGAAATTTGACCATAAGGTTAAATACCACAAAAGGAAGGTTGGGATTGATTTTGGGGGTTATGGTACCAACAGTTAAGGAATTAGGGGCCAAAAAGGGGCCAAAAATGAGCATTTTCTAGTTTCCAGACAATAAATGTGGAACGGTGTATGGATCTCTCTGAAATTATACTACAAGTTTCCATACCACAAAGGGATGGTTAGGATTTGCTTTGGGGGGTTATGGCTCAAACCGTTTAGGAATTAGGGGCAAAAAAGGGGGAAAAACAAGGTTGTCCTGGTTAATGGACAAATACTTTAGTACAAAACATAATTTAAAGCAGTGTAAGGGAGATAAATCAAATACATCATTGAAATTATCTCCCTTATACTGCTTTTAAATTATGTATAAAGTAATGGTTAATGAACAATAAAGATAATCTAAAACAGTGTAAGGGAGGTAATCCAAATACAACGTTTTGGTTACTTCCCTTACACTGCTTTTAAATTATGTTTAAAGAAATGCATATTTATAAAGGAAGACCAGTAAAAATATCTGCAAATGTTTTCATCTTTTTTTTTTACAAAAAAATCCATATGAAAGATTTGACACTATATTTTTATTAATTCTATTATAAAATAGATTAAGTTAGCACTATGGTAAATTTAAATGGGTAATTATGGTTGCCAACTCCATTGGAAATTAGAATTGAGATTATGACCATATCTTGAGGGAAAGAATTTTTTTTGGGGGGAAAAGGGGGGGGGGGATAAAAAGAAATTGTGGGGGGCCAATTTTTTCTCATTTCAGATTTCAGAAATTAAAAAGAATTATTCTTCAAATATTATTTTTTTTTCAAATTTCAAATATTGAAAAATTTCAAGAAGTAATCTTTAATTGCACAGTATGGCGCATTAGATTTGTAAAATCTTTGATCACATTTATTTATTTGTTATGCCAAATCTAACAGTGTATTTAGATTTTTAATTTTGGGTCCAGTTTTCAAATTGGTCTACATTAATGTCCAAAGGGTCCAAAATTAAACTTTGTTTGATTTTAGCAAAAATTGAATATATGAGGTTCTTTGATATGCTGAATCTAAACATGTATTTAGATTTTTGATTTTTGGCCCAGTTTTCAAGTTGGTCCAAATTGGGGTCCAAAATTAAACTTTGTTTGATTTCAACAAAAATTGAATATATGGGGTTCTTTGATATGCTGAATCTAACTATGAATTTAGAATTTTTATTTGTGGGCCCCGCTATCAAATTGGTTTATATTGAGGTCAAAAGGGTCCAAAATTAAACTTTGTTTGATTTCATCAAAAATTGAATTATTGGGGTTCTTTGATATTCCAAATCTAACCGTGTATTTAGATTTTTAATTTTAAGTCCCATTTTTTAAATTGGTCTACATTAAGGTCCAAAGGGTCCAAAATTAAACTTAGTTTGATTTTAGCAAAAATTGAATTCTTGGGGTTCTTTGATATGCTGAATCTAAACATGTGTTTAGATTTTTGATTATGGGCCCAGTTTTCAAGTTTGTCCAAGTTGGGGTCCAAAATTAAACTTTGTTTGATTTCAACAAAAATTGAATATATGGGGTTCTTTGATATGCTGAATCTAACCATGTATTTAGATTTTTTATTTGTGGACCCCGTTATCTAATTGGTTCATATTGAGGTCAAAAGGGTCCAAAATTAAACTTTTTTTGATTTCATCTAAAATTGAATTATTGGGGTTCTTTGATATTCCAAATCTAACCGTGTATTTAGGTTTTTAATTTTGGGTCCTGTTTTTTAAATTGGTCTACATTGAGGTCCAAAGGGTCCAAAATTAAACTTAGTTTGATTTTAACAAAAATTAAATTCATGGGGTTCTTTGATTTGCTGAATCTAAACATGTGTTTAGATTTTTGATTATGGGCCCAGTTTTCAAGTTGGTCCAAGATAGGGTCCAGTATTTAAACTTTGTTTGATTTCAACAAAAATTGAATATATGGGGTTCTTTGATATGCTGAATCTAAACATGTATTTAGATTTTTGATTATGGGCCCAGTTTTCAAGTTGGTCCAAATTGGGGTCCAAAATTAAACTTTGTTTGATTTCAACAAAAATTGAATATATGAGGTTCTTTGATATGCTGAATCTAACCATGTATTTAGATTTTTTATTTGTAGGCACCGCTATCAAATTGGTTCATATTGAGGTCAAAAGGGTCCAAAATTAAACTTTGTTTGATTTCATCGAAAATTGAATTATTGGGGTTCTTTGATATGCCAAATCTAACCGTGTTTTTAGATTTTTAATTTGGGTCCCGTTTTTTAAATTGGTCTTCATTGAGGTCCAAAGGGTCCAAAATTAAACTTAGTTTGATTTTAACAAAAATTGAATTCTTGGGGTTCTTTGATATGCTGAATCTAAACATGTGTTTAGATTTTTGATTATGGGCCCAGTTTTCAAGTTGGTCCAAGTTGGGGTCCAAAATTAAACTTTTTTTGATTTCAACAAAAATTGAATATATGGGGTTCTTTGATATGCTGAATCTAACTATGAATTTAGAATTTATTTGTGGGCCCCGCTATCAAATTGGTTTATATTGAGGTCAAAAGGGTCCAAAATTAAACTTTGTTTGATTTCATCAAAAATTGAATTATTGGGGTTCTTTGATATTCCAAATCTAACCGTGTATTTAGATTTTTAATTTTAAGTCCCATTTTTTAAATTGGTCTACATTAAGGTCCAAAGGGTCCAAAATTAAACTTAGTTTGATTTTAGCAAAAATTGAATTCTTGGGGTTCTTTGATATGCTGAATCTAAACATGTGTTTAGATTTTTGATTATGGGCCCAGTTTTCAAGTTTGTCCAAGTTGGGGTCCAAAATTAAACTTTGTTTGATTTTAACAAAAATTGAATATATGGGGTTCTTTGATATGCTGAATCTAACCATGTATTTTGATTTTGGACATTGGACCATAATAGGTAAATTAAAAAAATTCAAGTTCTTAGACCACATTCTTTCTGTGTCAGAAACCTATGCTGTGTCAAATATTTAATAACAATCCAAATTCAGAGCTGTATCAAGCTTGAATGTTGTTTCCATACTTGCCCCAACTGTTCAGGGTTCGACCTCTGCGGTCGTATCAAGCTGCGCCCCAGCGAAGCATTTTATTTCTCTTGTAAATCAAAGGGGACTTTAGGTTTGCACTCTGTCTGTCTGTCGTCTGTCTGTCTGTCTGTCTGTCTCCCTCTAACCGTTCTAGAGTTATGCCCCTTTATAAATGGAAAAATTACAAGTTTCCGTTCTCTAACTTAAGTGTGCCTCAACCAAATGTTATGAAACTTATACACAATGCTTATTACCACAAAACACAGATCAAGTTTGAATTTTGGTAGCGTCACTCTAACTGTTCTAGAGTTATGCCCCTTTATAAATGGAAAAATTACAAAATTTTTAGTTCCTGTTCTCTAACTTAAGTTTGCCTCAACCAAATGTTATGAAACTTATACACAATGCTTATTACCACAAAATAAAGATCAAATTTGAATTTTGGTTGGTTCACTTTAACCATTCTCGAGTTATGCCCCTATATAAATGGAAAAAAATGCAAAATTTTTAGTTTCCGTTCTCTAACTTAAGTTGCCTCAACCAAATGTTATGAAACTTATACACAATGCTTTTTACCACAAAACACAGATCAAGTTGAATTTTGGTAGCATCGCTTTAATCGGTATTGAGTAATGCCCCTTTATAAATCGAAAAATTGCAAAATTTTTAGTTTCCGTTCTGTAACTTAAGTTTGCCCCAACCAAACATTATGAAACCTATACACAATACTTATTACCTTAAAACTCAGATCAAGTACAAATTTGGGTAGCATCACTTTTATCCTTCTTGAGTAATGTCTCTTTATAATGTATGCAAGCAGGGGCATCATCAGTGTCCATGGGGACATATTCTCCATTTATTTTCTTCTAGCTTGAAGATATTGATTTGATAATTGGTATATAGTTTTATCATGACAAGTTACAGATCAAGTTTCAATTTTGTTCCGGTCTGATCATTTTGTTCAGAGTTATGGTCCTTGGACTTAGAAAATGACAGGGAAAAGTGAGAATGTAAATGTTTACGGTTTACCCCAATGAAAGGTGAATTGTCCTTGGCTGGATTTCAATGTGGCAACTGGTTTATCCCACACACATAGAAAGGGAAAGTGCCCTGCTTCATTGGACAAAAAACTTAAAACTAGACCCCATAAAAAAATCATGAAACTACCTCCCAGCATCTATCTTCAAGTGCCAAAATCATGGTTAAAAGAAGCTGACCCCAAGTTGAAAACAAAGTCGAGCTGTTATCTGACACAATTTTTTTTCATGCAGCAATTGAAACAAGAACAATTAAAAAGATACAAAGTGTTATTTAACACAGCTTAAAGTGTTGGGGTAAAAGGAGAAGCCTTTTTTCTAACTGTTTTTTTTGGAGAAATTCAGAAAAAAAATGAGATTGATGTAGTAAGATATGATGATTGCTTTGGAATGGTAAGCATTTTCTGTTTTTATAAATTGAATTTTCAATTAAGATTGGACCTTGAAAGAATAAAGGTGGACCTTTTAGTATTTTTTGTCAAAGGTCCTGGACCTTCCATTGCCTAAAGTGAATTTGAACCCTTGCCTCCTAATTATTTCTTTCTGGTTATCAGTTATACTAATTTGTGGGATATGGTATGACTTAAAGCATGGCAGTGTCTGTCAACAGGACAGGTAATTGTGCAAGCTCAATTGTTAGAAAAAAAGTTAACGATTTTAGGTCATTAGTTTATTGATTATTTGTTTTATTGATTTTCTTACAGTTTAAAATGGGGACTTTATTATATTAAATATTTATGGCAGTGTTAATGATGCAGGAATGCATAATTCTTGTTTAAGTCTGTGCTTTTATCCATAAATTGACATCAATTGAATTTTTTTTAGATACAATAAGTTGTCTAGACATGTAAGAGAGCTTGCCAGAAAAATCAAAGATGTTGATGAGAAAGATCCATTTAGAATAGAAGCCACAGCTCAACTCCTTGAAAAATTGTAAGTCTTTAGCTTCAGTGTAATCAGTAATCACATGCTTATTTAGGGTTTTTGAATGGGCTAATATTTTGATACTTAAAATTGGCCTAAACAAAATGATTTGCTGCCATTATGAACCTGAAATGGTAAGGTTGGTCAGATGTTTTTTTTTGTTTGAAAACTTCAGTAGTTAGATATGTAAACAGAACAAATGTTCAGCAATTCAAGATTTACAGATTTGGAAGGTTTCCTGGTGTAATTGTTTTTATCTGAAAATTAGTAAAAAACTCTTCTAATTATTCAGTCAAACACAAATTGATTTCCTCATTAGAGTTTGAGCCAATAAAACTTGATGTCTGAAACAAAGAGATTTTTTCTAAGAGTTATTGCCCTTGAATTACAATTTTTAACCAATTTTAGCATTTAAGACTATGATATGCTGTTCATTATTATTTTCAAAACAAGACAGCAACAAAGAAAAAAAACCAGTTTTACAAGTTGTTGCCTTTATGATGATTTTTTACTAATTTAAAATTTTTGACATATTATCTGCAAAAGAACAATAGATAGACAGAAACTGTAAACAGAAAAAATGATTAGTAATATAAGATCTGAAAAACTTTCATTATGGCTGAAACAATCAATTCATACTACAGGAATTATAATATTAGGGCCCAGTCAACTAGACGTCGCCCTACAGTCTCTGTTTGTCTGTCCAATTGCAATTGCAATGTGGTATGATGAGATTGCTTCTTCTGCTGTTCGGTGGCCACCATCATTACTGTTTATTCTGCCTCAACCGATTTCAATAACTTTAAACACAGTGTTTATATCTATAAAAGGAAGGTTTCTTTCGATTTTTGTGAAAATTGGGAGAAAAAAATTGAAGTAAAAACTTAAGTTATTGTTAAGAAAATTTGAATGACATATTTTTGTGCTAGAATTTCAAAGAAAATTGATATAAACATCTATGTATATTATGCTATACAAAATTGATTCCCAGTGTCAAATTTTCTGTAAGTGAGGAAAATTGTCTGTTATCCATGTATGTTATTCCGTCTTCTGTAAAACAAACAGTTGTCTGGATTTTTTTATGCCTTCAGATATTGATATAATATTTGTATATAAGATGATATCCAGATTGCCTGGAAATGGTGGCATGTCTTCCTGTGGACTGTTATCTTGTGAACTTTTATGTTTAAAATAAGGCTCATCTGGCTCAGCATCTCAGTCTAGTACAAAGAAGAGTTTACATTCATATCAAATTAACATAATAGAAAAACAAAGGATATGGGGTATCCGTCCATGACACAAAATCAGTACATGCACAGCAAAAAAACACAAAAAGCAAAGGAACAACACTTGTATTGCTGTTCTACATTTCAAAGTCACAGTGAGTGTCTTGTCTTATTTTTGCCACTGGACACTTAATGCCAATCCATCCACCATTGCAATTGATGTCTCTATTAGATTCCCCCATAGACTTTTGAGCACCCTAAGAGTTTTAAATACTAAGCAAAGTTGAAAGACAATGACATGAATCTGTATTTGTAGAATGATAACTACAGATGTATACAGGACTCAGCTTCCTGAAGGAAAATGAGTCAAAAAAAGAAAAATATGCGCCAAATAAGCATACACAGACGTTTTGTAAGAATCCTTTAGTTACTAGTATAAATATCTATTCGAATGCATTGTTAAATTTCATTGGTTTAAGTTACTTAAATTTGTTATATTTAAACTTTCAGTACCAAACATATTCTTTATAAATATCTTTTGATGAATATCGGATATTTAGACTCACATGTGACGTTGTCTTCTCATTCAGTTCCGCTTGAGAGCTTCATACACTACCATGAAAAACAATTTTGAAAGAGAGGTGAAAGATACCAAAGGGACATTCACTCATAAAGTCGAAAATAAACTGAAAACGCCATGGTTAAAAAAGAAAAAGACCAACAGACAAACAATAGTACACAAAACACAACATAGAAAACTAAAGACTGAGCAACACGAACCCCACCAAAAACTGGAGGTGATCTCAGATGCACAGGAAGGGTAAGCAGATCCTGCTCCACATGTGGCACCCATCGTGTTGCTCATGTTAGTACAAACCTGGTTTTAAGTCTAATTTGGTAGGTCACATTCAGGGAAATCCTTTATTTCAAGTTCGATGGGATAGCTGCGTTCAACATAGTCACCAAATTTTGAATTATTTAGTGAGAGAACATCATCTTTATAGCGGAAATTAAAGGTAAAGGATACTGCTAACTTCTTTTCTTTCTTCCTGTTCCTGTATGAAGTCAGCCTCATGTGAATAAAGGAACAAGTTGACAAGAAGAGGGGCACAGTTGGTTCCCATGGGAATGTCGATTGTTTGTTGAAAAACATGTCCTCCAAACATAACAAATATGTTGTCAATCAACTGTTGAAAAGTAAATTTTTATGAATTACTGAAATTATAATGAATTTTTTAAGAATACGTGGTACATTTGTATATACTATTATTCTTGAAAAGGCTCTGTTTTTTTTTATCTTAGTGTGTCTTCTCTTACTTTAAGTTCATTTTGTGTTAGTACAGTAGGCTTTTGAGTAGGAGGTCAAGAATGTAGATCAAAGTAAATGTACATGGATAACCAATCCACACCACCAAGAAAAAAAGGAAAAAGTGAATTAATATTGATTAACACAAAATATTGATCAATGTGTATGGTTAATAAAAGCTTTTTTTAATAGAATTAATATTACAAATTCTACAATGTGATTAAAAATTTCTTCATTGTACAGAAAAATGGTGACAACATAGTTCTTGTAATGTCTTAATAATTCAGCAAAGCTTGTGCAGATTTTCTATCATTGTGTTACCAAATGAAATTATTGTTATCTGCTATTAGTGTTAAATCTTCTATAATAATTGATGACAATTGTAGTGATAAATTCATGTAATAATAATGTTAGTACAGTCTGCCGAACTGTCACACATGCTCGTGTGATCATTTTTTTCATTTGAGGCCTAATCAGTAAAGGGAATGTTATTTCTTATTTGTCCGAGAAGTTACTATATTATTATAATGAGATGCTTCATGAGATTTTAGTACATATTTAAAATTTTAAATTATCTAAAGTATCTGTGAAAAAATCTGTGTTATGCTTTTAAACATTTGATAGGTCTTTACCCGATTACACTAGTTAGAAAGTAAACCAATAAAATAACCAGGGAGCTGATGGTGTGGTTAGCTTTCCACACAATTGTGACTTGTGGTTATGTCAAAAAACCAGAAAGTCAATAACAGATGGAGGATTCTGAAGAAACTGTCAGAAAACAGGAATCAAAAGTAATGAGACAATTGTTCAGACATACAGGAATCAAAAGTAATGAGACAATTGTTCAGACATACAGGAAAATAAAACATAACATTGTGAACATGAAGAACTAATACCATTGTCAAATTTTTTTTTCTTTTCAGAAACACGAAATTTAAGAAAATTACCCTTTTGAAGATATTATTCAGGCCTGCTGGCAAACTACATAGAAAAAGTTAAATGATAACTGCTTATGAGAGCAACCACTTTCAGGATGTTTTCGCTTAATCTTCTTGTTTTATCCATGAAATGCCATTAACAATTTTGTCTGCTAACTCCTACTTTTCTTGTCATAATTTTATTTCATTTTGTTCAAAAAGCCATTTTTGAAAATCTTATAAAATCCTTGTTATTTTTTCCTAGTTTATGAAAGGAAAAAAGAAGCCAATGTTAAATGTATGAAAAATCTAGAGAGAATCATTTCCCACCAAATTTTTATTGGCTTTTATCTCAAAAACCAGGACACGCCCCTACATATTTTTTCTGCTTTTTTTAGTTCCATTATTTATATATCAATTTAAAACAGTCTTTTTCAAATCTTGTTATTTTGAAACTGAACAACAAACATCCTCAAGCACAGGTTATATGTGCACCTTGTCATTTGTATTAAAGCAACTCAAACTTCTACATTTTTTTAAGAGACAAGAAAGTCATTTAAATTTGCCTTAATAAGTTCTAGTGATGTTTGGCACCAATCATGAAAATATGTGGTATTCAAGATTTGCTGAAAAAATTTATTTGAAGTTCTTTATATATGACATTAACATTGAGCTTATTTACTCATTACAAAGAGATTTTATCTGCTGCTGAGAAAGAGATTTAAGGGAGTATATTGAGTTTTTCCTAACATTCATAATATTTTGCAGATAAATTTGAAGACAAAGATGATATTACATTAAACTGTATTTGTGAATGTGTCATTTATATAGTGTTAAGTGTCTGCTATCTCATTGTGTATTGATTAAAACACCTGTCTAAAAACAAGACAACAGAATGTCACCATTAATACTCTAGAACCTTTTTCCTATATTAGATTTCATACAAAATTCCATAACCTTTAGCCCATATTGATTTTATACTATCAAAATTTTATGATAAGTTTACACAAGATTTGACCCCTCTTTCACTGTCCCATTAATTCAATCTTTCTTTTGCTGCATCTTTTTGTTTTTATTGGAAACCTTTATTGAATACATTCTCTTGCAAAAAAAGAAGTAATAATTTTTTGGCAGACAGCACCATTCATCTTTTAGCTGTCTGTCAATTGTTTATTGTCATGTTCTGTTGTCTGTGTAAATAATGTTATTTGATTTGATATCAATTTCATAAATGAATTATTTGGTTTGCCACAAAAGAAGAATGCAAAGAATTATCAGATAAGAATCAAAAAAGCTAAAACCTTGTGTCCAAATATAGAACAGGACTAAAAATAAAATGGAATGAGGATTATAAATGTTTTATGTGCAAAAAGATTGAAATTCTGCCATAGGATAAACTTGTTCCCTCTCATATTTATTTGGTTATGATTTGATTAAAAGTATAAGTTTTGAGCTTGATAATACAAAAAAAAAAAAGACATAGTGGTATAAACTGGTAAATGTGCTCCCATAAAAAGTAAAATCACAAAAATACTGAACTCCGAGGAAAATTCAAAAAGG